CCCCCAGCATTGCTATTAGTGCTCAGTGTTGCTTTGGCTATTCGAGGTCTTTTGTGTTTCCGTATGAATCTTAGTATGGTTTTTTTCCAATTCTGTGAAGAATGTCATGGGGATTTTGATTTGCATTGCATTGAATGTATAAATGGCTTTTGGTAGGATGGTCATTTTCACAATATTAATTCTTTTTTCTTTTTGGTCTTTCTGAGACAGGGTCTCCCTGTAGCCCCAGCTGGTTTGGAACTCAGGAACTCACTATAGAGACCAAGCTGGCCTTGAAGTCACAGAGACCCACCTGCCTCTGCTAGGATTAAAGGCGTGCACCACCACGCCTGGCCTATTTTTGTCTTTTTTTTTTTTTTTTCTTCTCATTTGTCCTTCCTAGATTTAAAAAAAAAAATTATTGAGTTTTTGTGTATTTCATACATAAAATCATCTTTATACTCCCTTTCCCTTTCCCCTTTGCCACCCTCCCAAAGTCCCCCACTGGAGTTCATACAGTCTGTTTTTTGTATTATGGCCTATTATGCAAAGTTAGTGTCCCCAGATGTCCCTCAGTACAAGCTCCTTCACAGGGGTTTAGTCAGCCTATCTAGAGGATCTAGAAGATCAGCTCTTCCTCACCAGCTGCCAATAATTCTTCAACCAAGATTGGAACCTGCTGTCCATGTCCACAGTTCTGTTCTGGGTTTTTGTGTGCCTCAGTTTGCATGGGCCTTGTGCATCATTGCTGTAGGTTTGTATGAGAAGGGTCCTAGGCACCTGTAAGACTATTTCCATATGGTCCTGCACCTCCTCCCTGGCTCTTACAACGTTTCTGCCCCCTCTTCTGCAATGGTCCCCTCAATATGGGACTCCTGTCCAAGGACCCACACTCTGCTGAGTCTTATTCTCTGCTTTTTGGCCATTTGTGGCCTTTTGTGTTCCTGGCCCTCTGTTGCATGAGGGAGCTTCATTGATGAGAATTGAAAGATGCATTAGACAGGTCAACCAGACAAAGAATAAACAGAGAGATGTCTGAATTAAATGATACCATACATCAAATGGACCTAACAGACATCTTCCAAATATTTCACCCAAGCACCAAAGAATACACTTTCTATTCAGCACCCCATAGAGCTTTCTCAAAAATTGACCACATACTGGGGCACAAAACAAACCTCAGCAAATACAAAAAGATTGAAATAACTCCATGCATTCTATCAGATCACAGTGCAATAAAGCTTAAAATCAACACCAGAAGAAGCCCTAGTAACTATACCAAGTCATAGAGATTAAACAACACACTTCTGAATGATAAGTGGGTCAAAGGAGAAATTAAGAAAAAAATAAAAGAATTCCTGGAATTAAATGAAAAGGACAATACATCACAACAAAACCTCTGGGACACTTTAAAAGCAGGCCTAAGAGGGACGTTTATAGCTCTAAGTGCCTACATCAAAAAATCTGAAAGAGCACAATAAATCACTTAACTTTGCAACTCAAGACTCTGGAAAGGCAAGAACAAATGAAACCCAAACCCAGCAGATGAGAAGAAATAAAAATCAGAGCAGAAATTAATGAACTAGAAACAAAACAATACAAAGAATCAATGAATCTAAGAGCTGGTTCTTTGAAAAGCTAAACAAGATAGACAGACCCTTAGCCCATTTAACCAAAAGAAAGAAAGAGCAAATCCAAATCAACAAAATCAGAGATGAAAGGGGAAACATCACAGTAGACACCCAAAAGATCCAGAACATTATAAGGGACTACTTTAAAAAACCTATACTCCATTAAAATTTGAAAACCCAAAAGAAAATCATGGGAACCGCCAAAGTTAAACCAAGAAGAGATCAACAGTTTAAACAGACCTATAACATATAAGGAAATCAAAACCATAATATTTCTGTTTTTTTGAGGCAGGGTCTGTGTAACCCTGGCTGACCTAGAACTCACTATGTAGACCAGACTAGCCTCGAACTCACAGAGATCCATCTGCTGCAGCCTCTCGAGTGCTGGATTGAAGATGTACATCCTCATGCCCAGCTATAAATTTAATTTAAAAAATTATTTCTTAATTTTATTGTATGTGTATAAATGTTTTGCCTGCATTTATGTAAGTGCACCACCTGTATGTAATGCCTGTGGAATCCAGAAGAAGGTGTCAGATCCCCTGGAACTGGAGTTACATGTGGTTATTAGCCCCCATGTGGTGCTGGGTCCTCTGCAAGAGTAGCCAGTGCTGTTAACCACTGAGCCATCTCTCTAGCGTCAAATTTAATTTTCTTAAGGTTTTATTTTTATTTTCAATCATATGTATATGTATGTGCCTGTGTGAAGTATATGTACAAGTTCAAGCACCCAAAGAGGCCAGAGCCGTTGGATCCCCTAGGAGCTGGAGTTGCAGGTGGGTATGAGCCTGTAACGTGGGTGCTGAGAATTGAACTAGGGTTCTCTGGAAGAGCAGCAAGTGCTCTTAACCAGGGCCGTCTCTCCAGCCCAACACACAAATTGAATATTAACTTTCTTAACTAAAGGTTAGGATTCTACTAAGATTACTTTTAGGCTTCCTTCCCCTCCTCCTTCCTCCTTCCCTCCCTTCCTTGACAGGGTCTCCTATCACAGGCTGGCACAGAACTCCTATGTTGCCAAGGATGACCTTGAATTCCTGATCCTCCTGCCCCTCTTCCCAAGTGCTGGGATTACAGGTGTGCTCCACTGTACCTGGTTTATGTGGTGCCGGGGATCAAACCCAGGCTTTATCTGTACTAGGCAAGCATTCTACTAACTGAGCCCTAATGTTTAATCATTTTACATTTTTCAGTCAGCACAGTTGAGTAAGTAAATAATGAAAACCATGGTAGTCAAAATGGTCTTAAAAATTACATGTTTAAGGAATACTGCCACATTCTTGGGAGAGCTTTGCTGCATAGCAGCATGATTGTTTATGACGTATAAGTTAAGCATTCTTAACTTAAAATCCAAAGCCCAAAGCACTGTAAAACCTAACCCTTTGGGGGCTGACACAGCACTCAGCACCTCCCTGCATGTCATGGGTTGCAGTCAAAATGCAAACATCCCAAAAGCACTGTATAAAATTCATCCATCAGGTTGTATGGATAAGATAGGAGACAAATGAATTTCCTAGTCACAAGATTCCTCATGTTTATAGAAAAATTCCAAAATGTACAAAGCCTGAAATTTTCTGCCTGAAGCATTTTGAATAGCGGAGGCTCAAAGCCTATTTTTAGTGGGTGAGTATCTTTTAGAAAATGCTTCTTGGGACTGGAGAGATGGCTCAGTGGTTAAGAGCACTGACTGTTCTTGCAGAGGATGCAGGAGTCAAAGTACCCACGTGATGGCTAACAAACGTTCATAACTCCAGTTCTAGGGAATCTGATACCTTCTTCTGACCTCTGTGGACATTGCACAACTTGGGTGCACTTACATGCATATAGGTATAGCACTCATAACATAAAATATAAATAAAATATTTTTTAAAAAAGATAATGCTTGTCAGCTGGGACCGCTGACTAGAACCAAACCTGCAGAGAAGCAGGAGGACTTGGTTACTTTTAACTTTATTACTCTGTTGAGAGGTTATCTCATAATGGAACCTGGTCTGCCCCTAAAGATTGCTGGCCATGTAATGGGGAGAAGTTTTAGATTCACTACGAGAGAAAGTTAAGTACAAGAAAATGAAAATAGCTTGATTCTTTTTTACTTCCCCACAGATCTCGGATGGATTTTTCGCCCATTTTTATGCCATTTGTGAGCACATAAGCCCTGTCTTAGCCTGGGGCTTCTTGGGCCCTAGAAATTCTCTCTATGACTTATGTTGCTTCTTTAAGGTATGTTCAGCCATTGAATTGGTTTTTTAAATAAATAAAACAAGGTTTTTTGCTTTTATAGAAGAATATTTTAAAATAATGTTATAAAAGTCACCTAAATTCTGGGTTTTAATGCCAGTATTAAGCTGGTGGCATTTTATATTAACAGTGTTAATATAGTGGGCCAGTGCCTTAGAGAGAGTTAGTGCCCTATTGTAGAATAGATTCCATGGGTCCTTAACAGTGTTAATATAGTGGGCCAGTGCCTTAGAGAGTTAGTGCCCTATTGTAGAATAGATTCCATGGGTCCCTTGACTGTATCAGATTTTTCCCATTATGGCCTTGGATAATGTTGCCATGTGAAATAGTATAAAAACATCTGTGTTTATCACATGTGATAATATAGAACTAAGTTCTGTTCATGGTAACATAAGTGTTAAAATCCAAATTGTAAGAAATCACATGGGAGTTTAAAGTTATACCATCCTGTCAGAAGTTTGTGTTTGCCAAAATACTAGTTAGAGCTCACTGGAGAGTGCTCTGGAAAGCCTCTATTCAGCACTCTTAAGGTGGCTGAGTTTCAAGGGGCAAATAGCACAATGAGTATGATTTTTTAAAATTTATTTTTATTTTATATGCATGAGCATATTGCCTGCATGTATGTCAGTGCACCTGCGCCATGCAAGGCCTGTGGAGGTCCGAAAAGGGTGTTGGATTCCCCCGGAACTGGAGTTATGTATCGATGGTTATTAGCCACCATGTGGGTGCTGGGAATTGAACCTGGGTCCTCTGTAAGAGTAGCCAGCTCCACAATAGCTGAGGTTTAGTGCGTAACAGAATTCAAATTACTTAAAATGTTTCAGTGTACTAATTTACTGAAGTGAAATGCTCCTCATGCTCTTCGAGGTCTCCACTGAATGTGGAATAAAAACTATTGTTTTTCTTTTGTACTGGAAAATACACTTTTTTTTCCCCGGTCTTTTTGAGACAGGGTCTCCCTGTAGCTCCACCTGTCCTGGAACTCACTATGTAGACCAGGTTGGCCTTGAACTCACAGCGATCTGCCTCTGCCTCCCGAGTGTTGGGATTAAAGGTGTGCGCCACCACACCCAGCTGGAAAATACACATTTAAAACTATTAATGGTTGTTGAAAATAGTTGGTTCTTGTGTGCTAATTGTAGTGCAGTGCTCAGCTCAGAGGCAGCACTAAAAGAAAGGTGGGGAGCTCCTGGTGAGGATGTGGTGGCCACTTCGGGGCTGTCTCTTTGGATCATCATGCCTGCCCCACGTGGTAAACAGGGAGGGTTGTGTTGGCTCTCACTCTCAGACATAGAACAAGCACACCCCTCCAGGTTAAACAACTTGTTTCAGGTCTTTCTCGTGGAGACATGAAACCTGCCTGGGAACTAAGGTGCCTGATTAGACCTGTTCAGTATTAATAACTCTTAGAGTTATTAAAATTGTGATCTAATACATGCCAATTTGTTGTGCTTTATTTCTTAGAATCAGGTTCTTTTCTTTCTCAAAGACATTTTTGACTTTGAGAAGGTACGCTATTCAAGTATAGAGACTTTGGCTGAAGACCTCCTGCAGCTGCTCATCCGCCGCACTGAACTGTTAATTGCCTATCTTGGAGCAGACGCCCTGAGGCACACTGGGACATGTACTAGTGGTCACGGTCCTGTTATGTCCACTGGGCTATTGGAAGCCAAAGTACAGTAAATACTGTAAGGATAGACGGTTTGAGAGTGCTTTAAACATTTTAAGGTAAAGTTACAAAATCAGCAGAATTGGTGAACGTGGACTCAGGGAAGGAAAAAGAAAGTCTCAGAGAATGAGTGGCTGTACTGTACTTATGCAGAATTTTGTCATTGAATCCCTGTGTAATGTGTCCAGAGCTACTTTTAATAATCCTAGGTAATAATTTGTGAAATGTTGTGAGTTTTGTGACAGTTGCGTGAATCAAAGCCAGTACTTGGGAGTTGATTTATTGTTTTTACTCTGTCAGAAATGTATCATTCCTACTACGTGTTTTGATGCTTTGCACCTTGAAAATACACTAGCCGAGATCTTTGTGGCTCACAAATGTGAGTAATGACTCCAATGTCAACATATTTAACTTTGCCTGAAAATGTGTTCTTAACTGTAAAGATAATCATTTATTTAACCAGATTTAGGCAATAGTGATGTTTAACATGTGCTGCTTACCTTACTGCTTGTGTATTTGCTTATGTATTTGAATCAAAGAAATTGTAATTACCAAGTATTGGCATACAACATACAGATGAATTGACACTGAGAAGTTTACAGTCCCCCCTTTATGTAAGACTAATTGTAGTTTCCACAGTATATTACTGTTGGTCCTGTAAGTTTCAATAGGCTGAAGTACTTTTTATCTTTTTATAAATTAGATCATTTTCTCTTAAATGAATATTAATTTTTAAAATGTAATTTATTTACCAAGAAAGATAGTTAAAATTTACCCTCTTTTGCCAAGTGTGGTTGCACACGCCTTTAATCCCAGCACCCGGGAGGCAGAGGCAGGTGGATCTCTGTGAGTTCAAGGCCAGCCTGGTCTACATAGTGAGTTCCAGACCAGCTGGGACCGCAGAGAGACCCTGTCTCAGAAAGACCAAAAAATAAAATAAAATAAAATTTACCTTTTTTTAAATGTAATTTTGAGGCTGGCTCCCAACATGTAATGGTATTAAACAAACTATTAAACATAGTAAAATAACTCCTCCTTCCCCTTCCACAAAACAGGCTTTTAGTCTCTCCCACAGACAGCTCAGCCCACAGGACATTTGTCGTATTATGCCATTTTTAGAATAGTGATACTTTGAAGCTTAGGGTTGAAAGAATTTTTCCTCTGTCATTTAGAACAAAATATTTTTAATGAATTGGAAGTATATTTTATGTCCTTATGATAAAGATATGAGCAAGTGACATTCTTCTTCCGAGCGTTTAGATTTCTCAGAGCTGAGTTAATTTTGTCTTACGATCATATACCAGTGGCTACTATGTTTGTCTGTGGATTAGATTTGTTGATATTTGCTCCTAAATGGGCTGTATTAGTTTTAGAACCGGGTTATACAGAAGGATCTGAAATGCATTTTGTGAAAATGCATTTTTTAGATTAAAGTGCCTAGATTCAGATTAATGACTAGAAAATAAAAAATTGAAAAGCTTAATTTTTTTAAGATTTTAAATTGATGTATCCATCACAATTATGTAAATTAATGAGCAAATATAAATTTGAGAATCATGTAGTTCTATGTGTTCTGTACAGGTTATTAGAGTATTAACCCTGTGAACTATTTATCTGTTCTGAGTATACGGTACCTTTCGTACATCAGTTTTTAATTTAATAATTGCTGTTCATGATTCTTCCCAATGACTGATTAGAAGTACCGGAATTCATTTTCACATGAGGTCTTTTTACCTTGTTGTGATCTCACTGGCCAGGAGTGACACGCACGTGTGCATGCATCCGCACTCCTGTTACCACGGAAGCAAGACTGTTGGATATTTATTCATTGGAGAGCTAAATGTTTTTTGCTGTGGTTTTGGTAAACAAAGCTCTAAGTAAACATAATGACTTTCTTATTTGAGAAAGGTACTGTTTGAAATCAGTTTTGAAGAATTGCACTATGTAATGATGCTACCAGAGAGCGTAACTCTGGGGAATATGTTTCATCAGATAATTTCCAGAAAGGCTTTGATTTCCTCCCTTTTACATTTCAGCTAAAAATACTAACTGTCCATCTTCAGGAAAGGGCTGTTTTCCAATTCAGTGCTTAGGTTTGATTAGTTTCTGGGGAGCTCGTTAGCTAGCACACTAGCAAGATGCTTTCTTTGTGGCCTTTGACCGAGAAATAAGAATGACCAAATAGGATTTCAGGCAGGAACTGTAAGAGAAAAATCTTTTGGGGGTGGAAAGGGGAAGAAGGGAGAGAAACAACTTTTTTTAAGGAAAATCTCTTCCTAAAAGGAACTTTTCTGACTGCAGAATTAAGATATACATACCAGTTTTCATTCGCCTTAATCAGAAAGTGCTTTAAAAAAGAAAAAGATTAAACTGGTGTAGACTCTGTTAGGGATGGAAAAGAAAAGCTGCCCAGCGCTTACTCATGGTGGTATAACCAGAAGAATGCTGCAGCCACGGGGAGCCTGCCTAAGTTGTAGATGTAGAGAGACAGTCCTGAGAAAATGACCCTTTCCTCCTTCCTGGACAGAAAAAGATAAACATTCAGTTGACGTATATTTTATACTTTTCCTTTTTTTCTTTTTCCTACTTTTTGGTTTCTCTACATTCTTGCACAACGACAAGATAGTTATTTCTTCCCCAAGGTTAACAAATGTTTATGAAATGACAAAATGGGACTGTCTTTTTTAAAAGAAGCCAAGTTTTCTATATTGTCAATTCTGAAGAGCTTTATCTTTCTCATGATGTAATATTACTTGCCTCCATTGACTGTAATTCTATTAATTACAGTTAAATGACTATGAAAAGTATTTACAAAGATTTCCTTGCCTTAGGGTGTAGCATTTTCTACTTAATTCTTTGCTTTGCAGAGGTACACTTGATGCATGTTCCTGTAACCCGAGGAAACAGAAATGCCACAGGAAGAGGTGACAGTGACAGTCAGCCTATGTCTCTGTGGCCTTTCATGATTAGCAACTGTCAGTTATGTTTGTAACTTGGATGCTTCTATTTTAATATGAACATGTACCCAGAAATTAATTGAACTGTAATTTCCAAGTGACTGTAAAAATTCGGCTAAATTAAAATCTTTCATTTTTTAAACTAAGAAATATGTGTGTGAGATTTAAAGGTTTACATAGTCTGTGATAAATGGAAATAAGGAAATACTGTTTTTAATTATTATGTTATTTCATTTTAGAACAACCATATTTTAGCCCACTTGACTGACACCAGCAAATGTGTCTATTTCTTCAGTGGAAGGACTGAACTCACACGTGTAAAATACCAGAGTAGCAGAAAAACAGCACTGGCCCTGTGCAGTTATAAGCCCTGGAACATGGATGTATTTCTGTTACTGCCAAATAAAGAGGTGGTGGGGCATGCTGGGGATGTGGGGAGTATTTTAAGCAATGTTTACATATAATTATGAGATCACAGTTGTCTCAATAGATGCTGTCCTGTGAAAGGTCTCCACAGACATAAGACCACGTGTGTAGGCATAGAGAACACAGACAAGCCTAGAAGCATTGAAATCAAATGTGAATTGCCAAATATCTTTATGTACTGACATGGAAATAAAGCTAGCATCGTGATGGATAAAGTTCAAGTATTTGTGTGATTTGTTTGTTTTTTGGTGTTTGGTTTGGTTTGGTTTTCTGGTTATTTTGTTTTTTGTTGGTTTTTTGAGACAGTCTCCCTGTAGCCACAGCTGGAACTCACTGTGTAGACCAGGCTGTTCTCAGTCTCACAGAGATCTTCCTGCCTCTGTCTGGGATTAAAGCTATGTGCCACCATACCTGGCATGTTTGTGTCTGTCTTCCAGTATTTCAGTGAATAAGGCCATCAAACATAGTATGCATTTATGAATGGATACCCATCATCTGTACCCCGTCAGAGGTGTTTGTTGTGTTTTTCCGGTGAGCCCACCCCTAGCCGTTCAGATGGGATTCCAGCCTCCTTTCTCAGCACCTCCTAGTCGGTTCAGAAACACTGAGTCAAGGGGGCAGGACGCGGCTGGACATGCAAAGAGGATTCCTGGCCTTGGGCCTTTAATAATTGCATTTGTTTTAGAATAATGTTATGTAGATAATTTCATGGTTACATGTCTTTTTGTATGGATGTGCATGTGTGCAATGCTGGCGACTGAACCCAGCCAGGACCCTGCATGCTAGGCAAGTGCTCTACCATTGAGCTACTCCCCCAGCTCCTATTTGTAAACTGTCTGTTTTGTTTTTCCAGAGAGTCTGATACAGCCCAGGCTGGCCTTGAACTCCTGATGTGTCACCTCCTCCCAGGACTGGGATTAAAGGCAGGTACTACCAATCCTGGTTTGTTTTAAATTTTAAATCTGTGCTCTGGCAAATGCTATTTAGTAAGCGGGTCACACAGACATGAGTTGACTCTTCTGTCTGGTATGCGGGGCTGAGGAGAATGGGGACTAGATCAGCATCCAGGTCTGCCTTCCTGTTCTCTGATCATTTTCTGCCTCATTCTCGGACGTCTCTTGTGTCCTCTGATCTGATCCTAAGGTTTTGGCACTTTAAATATCTCGCTGAGTTCTTAGGAATGTTTAAGAAGTTCCTCAGACACCTCTGTGTCCTGTCGTCACACCAGGGCCGTGCTGCAGTCGCCGTCAACCCTCGCTTATCTGCTGTCATCCCTGCCGCTCTGATGCTGCTTTTGACTGCGTCTTGTTTTCTCCCCTGTGGCGTTTCTTCATGTTCTCTGCACTCTTTAATATTTTAGAGTGTCTCACCCCGCCGCTTCCTCCCCTGGTCTCTTGCTTTTCTGTGCTACTGACGTCTCTGATCAGGCTGCACAGGATTATTGGTCTGCTCAAGTTCTTTGGCTTTTTTTACATCAAAACAGTGGAAATCCTGCAGCAACCTTCATCACTGGGCCAGGAAGGGCTAGATTCAGTACAGCAAAGAAAAAGTCCTTGGGACACTTCTCATTCTTTACTTAAAAGCCGTAGCAAAGCCACCAGCACATCAAATAGCAACACAGCATTCTGCTTTCTTTGTGTGTCACAGAAGACCCTCACAAAGTACACTTATATAGGAAACTGCAGAACTTTGATAGTTTCCTCGGTTTGAAAT